CGCGTAATCTATTCTTTTTTATGTAAAGTAAAAAATGTTATGAGACACCCTCTCATCGATTTGAAGGTGGTTGATCACAAGGATACACTCTAACAAAAATTATAAATTACTATCCTTGTCATCGATTTTAATTTCACAAAAATACCTTAATCGAATTGATGAGATTTTATTGGATTGGGGTTTGAAATTTCTTTTAGTCCGTAAAGATTTTTTATTGGTTTCAAACCGAGTAATCCTAGGTCTATAAGAAGTTATATATATGTCGATCTTATTCATCTCATTCTTATAAAATATAAAGTCGGCTTTTTCTTTTAGATTTATGAATGTTCATCTGTTCTGACTTTTTTTCTTTCTTTTGGTAGACGCTAATGATTCTGATTTATCATGATTAGTTGTTCTTTTGGTTTATTTTATGCTTACAAAAAGTTTTTAGTTTTGTATGTTTTCTTAGTGGTGTAGGCATAGAAACCTCACTAGCCCTTGATCAAAAAAAAAAAAATCGCGAAGATTTCATCCATTGTTACGGCGACAAAGGAAAAAAGGTTTGTTATATATATTTTGCCTTTTTAGTATAATCTCTTACCCTCCGACATCTCCGAACGCCATGTGCTTCTAGATTATGTCGTCTTAACCAACCTACTGTGGGAGAGACGACAATAACTATAGCAACCACAAAGAGATAAATAAATACGTACATATAGAAAATTTTTTTATCATGAATACTCTTTTTAATATTTTTGGTGATTTTTTGTTTTTTTTAATTTCAGTTCTTCATGATTGTTGCATGTTCTTGACCTTGACTCAGCTAATCAAGCCATTCAACTACTCATACACACAAAAAAACTTCTTGAATCTCATCTTTTCTTAGTGAAAGAGGTAAAAGCAATGTATATAAATATTATAAATTTGGAAGAGTAAAGCTTCCTCACTCTATGGTTGATTTGACTTTCTTCTCTTAATCGCGAATTAAAACGAACCACAAATACATTTTGACACAAGATACCAAAAGCCTTGAAACCGGCTTCTTATGCAAGGTCTAATACATTTGTTGCTCTCTTACCTTTAAACCATTTTGTTTTAGGATTAATCATGTTTTGCTTTTGTGTAGTTTGTATCGTAGCTYGTCCAAACTCTTTTTGTACACAAGGTTCRGAAGAAYGTAATGRASTTAAGATTTAAACATWKATTGCTTCCRCTTCTTTTATATATATAATTTTATTTGTTGTGTTTACAYAGATGCAAAGGAACCTAATCTCAAGYCTTTCGAAAGAGATGCACGACACTGGTAAAGACTCTCTGACATGTTTTGGTTCCTTTAGTGTCACATATATTACTTCTCTGATATGAATCTCTTCCAGGTTTAAGGATAATTCATTACTCTACAATGAGTAAAGTAGTGCATGCGTATTTCAGTGCCAAATGCCACCAACTCAAAAGTAGTAATAGTCACAAATTTTGAGAGTGTGTTTTTAGGTACAAGACAGTACAACATCTTTGTCAAAGTTCAAAAGTAGTTAAAACTTACTTATATAATTTATAATTAATAATTTATATTCTTTTTGGTTTCTAGGTATTTCATCTTAAGAAATCTCTTAGAACGAGGGGACATCTTCAAGTGTAAGTCTCAAACTCGATACATAAAATTGCATGTCTTCAAGTGTAAGTCTTCAAGTGCAATTTTAGCATGCAATGTTTCTTATTGCATGCTAAAATTGCATTCACTGATGATTATGTGCACTCCATAATGTTAGTTCATGTTCTTAGGTGCTCTCAACACTAGAATCAAGACGTCTCTAAATGTTCTTTCACGTTTTGGTGCACTTCAGAGTCCGTTGGTTCTAGAAAGGGTAGAAAAATCAATGAATCTCGCAGCTCAAAGAAAAATTGTCAAGTTTGATTCAATGATTGGCCCTCTAGACTCGAAGGTTGATTTACAAACAGATAATACTGCGTTGACGGGTAAGAAACATATAATATTTGCTTGCATCACTTATGTCTTCTGCAGTTATGCTCTCTTCGATAAAGTTGGTAATCAAGTTCCTCCAGAGAGTTGTTAACAAACGTTGGCCCAAATTTTAAACACGTGCATGGTGACCAATTTCTGTTTTATTATGTTTCTAGACGTTTTATGTTTTGTTTAACTAAATACTTGTTTAACAAATGCAAATCTATATAATCAGGGGTGAACATGTTAGAGACGTGAACATCTTAATTTTTTATTTTCTTTCTGTTAGCGTTTTAGTGATCAAAGTCGAGCTAAGATTAGTAGTAACTAAAGAAGGACAAACATTTCTGATACAACCAAGGTCTATGAACATTTTTATCCTAGATAACCAACTCCAAATCCAAATCAATAGTAACCAGGGCATTAGATCTTACATCATGACACAAGTTTATATATATTACAAGAATATTAATATATCATTATACTTTATCCTATCTTTAGAAGAGACTAGATAGGACGAGAGCTCATAGGAGAAGAAACCTATGTATTTTATGTTTGTCCTCACATGTCCACGAGTTTGAATATGTATATATCATTTTTGCTCACAAAATTGGTTCTCTTTTGGTTTCCTAATCCTCTACTCACAAATTGTAGATTAATAAATTAAGTTGATTGTGCCTTGGTTGAAAGGATTTCATGATGATAATTGTGTGGATGCGACAAGACAAAAGAGACGTGAAAAATAAAAAAGAAGTGCTGCTAAATTACTCTTGCGGGCGTTGTCGGTGTCACCGCTGGAAAAAACGACGACTATTAAGATGGCCGATGCGATTAGTTCTATGGTATCGCCGGTGTATTCTTCACATACTTGGCTTGCAAGTAATGTATAATTCTTTACTTTCGATTACAGACACATCGTTTTTGAAAAGAATAGAGCATTATCAAATCAATTGTATGCGCGATGTAAATAGCCATTTTCTTTTCATTTGCGTTTGTTTTTGAAACCCTAACAAATGTTTTTAATATAGTGAGATATATAATTTAATATTAATATATGTAATATAAAAAAGTTTTGATGTTTTGTGACATGCAAGATAAAGAGAATGTATATCCATCTACTTATGGTGTTTTGGTGTTGCTCTTTATTCTTACTATGAATCTATGTTGTTTTTATCTGAACCTTGCGTAGGTTGTTTATGGCTCAGTTGTATTACCAATCCACCATGGAAACTAGTGTTAAGATCATCCACGTCAGGTAGTTTTTTCTAATGAAAATAGATTTAGAAACTTCTCCTTTTGTTTTGGTTAATAGTTTAGGTCATCATGTGGAATTTATTGCCTCATTTAACAATTTTCTTTGCAATGAACGTTGTTAGTTAAGCAGCATAAGGCATCGTTTCTATGTCTCAAAAGCATGCAAATTTCTCTTTCTTATAAGTTATATTTTTTATCTTGGTTATATGTGAATCTCTGTGTTATCTAAGTTGAGGAACGATAAGTTTCGTTATGGTACCCATAGATTTTATATTAGATTTTATTTGAAAAGCTAAGAAAACCGATGTATGCGTTGGTTTTGTTCTAGATTTTTTTTTCGTTAAATCTGATATGTTTTTGTGCCTCCATTTACTCTAAGAAACAATACTACATGATGACTTTGAGAAGGTCTTCAAGATCTTTCTTTTAGCTGTGTATTACGAGCATTGTAATGTTATGATTAGTTGTGCTCTTTTTCTTTTAGGTTATGGTATTGGAGGTTAGTTTTTTTTATTTGCTCATTTGGTTTCCAGTCTGTATGGGTGCAACTTTGATTCACCAAAGAGAAGGCGTGTGTTATTCATATATATATTGTTATAGCAAGAGCTTCATGGTTGCAGATTTTATTATGTGATCTGCTACTTCATGGTTCCTTATAAATGTATTGGCATTTTTTTATAAAACTCAAAGATTTGGCTTGCTTTTGCTCCATGTACAGCTACAAATACCGGGGTTTCTCACTTTTTCCAGTATATGTGTTTCTTTTGTCAGATTCAAGTAGAAGCAGCGGCTGCCTCACCAATAGCAAAAACTTCTTTAAACAGGATATTAGTAGTTGCAAAAAAGAATTGTGAGTAGTACTCTCAAGTTCTCAAGTGCTTCTTCTCATGCTTGAAATTGTTCTTGCCTGGAAATTAAGATAAAACAAGCAAATACCGAAAATAAAAGGTTCTTAAATCAAACAAACAGTTTCTTTTCATTTGTTAGATTATTAAATGTTGGTTTAATTCGTTTGTTTATAGGTTGTTGCTTTCTATGACATTCTTAGTCCCGATTGAGAATGAGAACAAACTAGCGAAAGAATGTGGATTGGAGGTTCATGTATTGTTATCCACTTAAGATTAGAGAAAGATGTATGTGTAAGAACAATGCATA